GATCAAAAGCCCGTATTAATAGTTATCATTAGTTAATAATCAATAGTTATCGTTGCATTGTTATTTATAAAATATTTGCATATAAATATCTACATATTAATAATCATAGTGGATTTGTGATATACATTTATATCTATAATCACGACTCAACTATAACTTTCAATTAACTCTGAATTCAAATTTGAATATCTCGAGGTCTTAAATCTCCATATCAATAGTCATTATTTGAAATTTCTCTCAAATGAGATATTCAGATTTAAGTTCAAAGTTAGATGAGAGTTAAATTTAAATTTTCAATTGAATCACGACTGCAAATATAATGTTAGATAAGTCATATAATTGAATTGAAAAAAACTTGGATCTAATTCTGAATAAAAATCCGAGTATCTCACGTGAGACTTTAAGAAACGACTATTAATACAGGCCTTAGACTTATGTTAATAATCGTTACTTGAAACTCAAATGAGATATTAAGATTTGAGTTTAAAAATGTGAGTTTTTAGCTATGAATCGCGATTACAAATCTAATGTTGCATATATTGTAGAATTCAAATAAAAAAACTCAAATCAAACTTTAAATTTAGATTTGAGTATGACGTGAGATAAGATTTAACAGTGACAACTATTGACTATTAATGTGTAAATATTTATATGCAAATATTTCATGAATAACAATGCAACGATAACTATCGATTGTTAACTAATGATAACTATTAATTTAATCCACATTAATAGCCGTAACATTAAAATTATTTCAAGTAGAAGACTCTGATTTGAACATAGAGTTAGATCTGAATTTTCTAGTCGCAATTACAAATGCAATGTCACGTTTTGTAAAATATTGAACCGAATAATTCAGATCTAACTCTAAATTCAAATCCGAATCTCACGCGAATTTCAAGTATAACTTTTAATATGGACTTTGGAATTGCGAGTGTTTCAGTTGAATCGCGATTGCAAATACAATGTCATGTCGTACATTTCAAACAAAAACTCAGATCTAAATACAAATTCAATTCTAAGTATGTCACTTGAGGCAAGTTTCAAGTAACGACTATTTACAGAGGTCGAAATGCACGACAATCAGAGATCAATCATGTGTCTTTAGGGTCTCGATGCAGATAATAATGCATTTTGTTATTAAAGAGACATTAATATCATTTCACCTTGGCATCAACCAATCGATGAGCCCGAAGCTCTTGCTTCCCGTCAACTAAATGTCAACGAATATCGATAACAGTTGCTTCGAAGACGGAAAAAGTCGGCCTTTTTTTCACTTCTGCGAGGTAACGGACGGTAATGACGCTGATGTTTATGCAGAAATTGCACAATGACATCACTTGGACAATCATAGGCGGACACGCATAGTTGCACCGCGTGAGGATATACGCGAAATAATGCCGAAGCGCGTAACCGCAACGTCCGACAGTATCACTTTATTCCGGAATTCGATCGGTCTTGTGTCGACGCAAAGTTGACACAGTCAAACATGATAGCTTTGATACTGCGCAAATCTATGTGCATTCAAAATTATGCAAATGTTTCTGGCATTTCATGAATAATAATACAACGATGTTCATCAATTTGAACAGTGTCGAGTTATAATCATTTAATACGCGAAGAAAATATATAGAAAAAATTTATTTATTCTTGTCAAAATCCTGTAACTTAATCGCGTAAACAGAAGTACATCTTTCAATAAATGATGCAATTTCCAAAATCTGTTTGATTTTGAAATCGTAAATTCTATATGGAAAAAATATTACATTAAAATTATATATTTTTTACAATGTTTTTATTAAGCAGGACTATACTGAAGTTGTAGTTAAAATTATTATAGAAATAATAATTTTGACGATCCGTCTGATATACAATATAAAATTACAACAAAATTTTTATGATTTTAACAATACAGAATTATAAACGAAATTATTAAATATTTGTCTAAAAATGTTATGCACGTTTAACTTTTTACTACAAAATTATTGTAAATATATTATTATAAATTATATATATAGCAAATGATTCTGTCACTACAATTATAGTAATTATTTTAATCTTTTTTATATTATATATCAGACGAATCGTCAAAATTATTATTTCTATAGTAATTTTAACTACAACTTCAGTATAGTCCAGCTTAATAAAATCATTGTAAAAAATATATAATTTTAATATAATACTTATCGTATATTTTTTCCATATAAAATTTACGATTTCAAAATATATACAAATATATAACAAACTTTATATATAAATATATAACAAACAGATTTCAAAAATTGCATTATTCATTGAAAGATGTATTTCTGTTTACACGATTAAATTACAGAATTCAGACAGGAATAAAAATTAAATAAATCCTAGGAAGTTATAAAAAGTTGTACATTAATAGCAGTATGAGTTTTTTTGTTATGTATGTCTATTAACAATATCTTAGTATAAAAAAATAAAATTTTATAGTGAATACCAACATCAATATGTCCATTTCAATTCTGTTCTGCAAAATTAACACAGTGATGTTAATATTCACTATAAAATCTCTTTTTTTTTGTATATACCAAGATATTGTGTTAATATATACATACATAACAAAAAAGTCATACTCTTATTAATTTACAATTTTTTACAACTCTCCAGATTTTTTAGAAAATTTTCACTCCTGTCATGATTCTGCAACTTTTTGAACTGAGGTAAAGCTCTGCTCTGTAGCCTAATTTCTTATCGCGAGGCACTGTGCCGGGCTTACAGCGCGCTCAGGTCACCGTGGGTTCATCGATCGCGCCACGAAACTCGAAACATTGTACTCGTCCTCGAACTTTCAGTGTCTCGCGTAAGGTGACCGATAAAATCACATTGGGAAATCGCGACGTCACTTCTACGGGAATAATATCGGCCAGGAATATACACACAATTTTCACACACTCAACGACGACGTCACACATCCTGCCGCATATATCGTCGCAGAGATTCCATCGATCCCGGGAATATTTACGCAGCATTTATTTTAGGACGTATATTTACCCCTGTTTTTCCCTCGTTTACTTTAACAGCGCATTTTTTACACAGCATGGACGGTTAACGTGGTTTAAAGGAGGTATAGCTAAGCTGTCCCTCCTTTTAAATTCTATTTTGTAAGACAGAAACGAAGATAGTGTATAGAAAAGACCGGGGTTGGATGCACCATATATTTCAGAATTTCCAAGTTATTTTCTTAGTCAACAAATTGTTGTGACTAATTGTGCGAACACGATAGAGACAGCCTTCTTCTATATATTAATACCTGCCACGATTCTGTTAACCGTATATTTTGTTTTGTAATAACTAATATACAAACATGCGGCAACATGGCTATCTTATTTTAGTATCGGGTGCAATTTAGTATAGTATAGGATAAAAAAAGCTACATATAAAATATGTATCCTGATTAGTAGTTTCGAGGTCCCCACGAGAGGTCTCCACAGTCCTCCTGTGATCCTTTAATTATGGGCTAATTTTTCCACCCATATGTTCAATTTCAATCATTCGCTTAACTTTATTCGTTTACGATGAAAAATATTAATACAAAATTTTGAGAGGCACAAAACTTTACTTTGGTATACTACTAAATCCAGTGTTTTCTTATTTTTTAACTATAATATTATTGCTATTTTAATGAAACTTAAGGAAAAATATCTATGTCCAACTTAGCACATACCGTTTAAAAACATGTAGAAAACATTTTACGAACAGTTATGAAATGGTTTAGAAAACATATGTGAAACCAATATGTGCCACTAGAGATTCTCACTGTTCCTCCGAAGATAAATACTAAAAAAATACATGAGTAACATGTATATAAGGTGTCCCAGACTCTTCTCCGCAATTTTTGTGGGGACGTAAAACGGATTGAAATGAACATAAAAATTCTATACGTTTGCGACATTCGCAAATAGTAGATTAATTGATAGAATAATGGTAGATGAACTGTAGTCCCTTATAGAAATATCATACTAAGAATCATTGATAATTACTTATTTTCAGTATTAAAAATACTGGATAATAAGTAATTATCAATGATTCTTAGTATGATATTTCTATAAGGGGTGACGATATGTGCTTGTATATTAAGTCAAATTGAACAAAAAGCCTTTTATCATTTTGCAAATAACCACGTAGATTTTTAATTATTAATGAAAGAAAATTGTTATATGACTATGCGCGATAATATGCACAAATCTTCTTTAATTAATATTTAAAAATCTATGTGGTCACTTGCAAAATTTCTTTGACTTAATGTATAAGTACACAACGGCAGATGGCGTCATTATAGTTCATCTACTATATCGCGCATGATCACTCACTAATCTTCTTTAATTAATATCTCCAGATTTATTGCAAATATCGTAAAACAGTATGGGACTTTTATGTTTCCCACTAAAATTGCGGAGGAGAGTCTGGGAGACAATAATAGTCAAGATATTAAGTAAAGAAGATTAGTGAATGATCACATGCGATATGGTAGAACTGTAGTGACAATATGTGCTTGTATATTAAGTCAAATTGAACAAAAAGCTCTTTATCATTTTGCAAATAACCACGTAGATTTCTAATTATTAATGAAAGAAAATTGTTATATGACTATGCGCGATAATATGCACAAATCTTCTTTAATTAATATTTAAAAAACTATGTGGTCTCTTGCAAAATTTCTTTGACTTAATCTATAAATATACAACAGCAGATGGCGTCATTATAGTTCATCTACTATATCGCGCATGATCACTCACTAATCTTCTTTAATTAATATCTCAAGATTTATTGCAATATCGTAAAAATATCGCAGAAATCGTAAAACAATATGGGACTTTCATGTTTCCCACAAAAATTGCGGAGGAGAGTCTGAGACATTTTGTATATTTATAGAATCATTTAGATTCGCATCTCTCCTATAAGTAAAATCAATTTACTATGTAGTATATGCGTGTGTGTCTTATCGCTTGTATCTCTTGTGTTTCTAGGCCTTGCTATACCTCATACAATTGTTGGATCCAATCGTGAAGGGTGACTACGTGATCGCGTATTTCCACACCCTCACGGCCAGCAGCAATTACCCCAGTTTACATTGGCTACGCGAAGTCTATAATGTGCTTCCCTATAAGTAAGTCCTGCGCGAACGCATTAGCCTTATTGATCATGTCTCAGACCGATCGATCGATTCGCAAATTAACGTTTTCACACGATTGTGTGACGACGTAGTATGTCGCTGTGATAAATCGCGCCGAGTCACAGAGTTACTTATTGTCACTTACTCTCTTAAAGTGAATCAGTGAATAGTCACTGATATCAGTTATGAGTACAGCACTGAGCACTTTCAGTGCAATACTTATAACTGCAATCAATGTATATTCACTGTTTTCAGTGATGTTTGACTGATTCATTTTAAGAGAGTACTAAAATTCGACGTACTTGAGACAAATTTCTCTTTTACAGATATGAGATCTTGAGACTGATTTCTTTTTTTACAGATACAAGAAGAACCTCAAGCATTTCTACATTATCCATCCTACCTTTTGGACCAAGGTCAGTGATACGGTGCCATCGCGCACGATATATTATTAAGTCTGTTCTTTTTAGCTGAATCAGTGCTGCACTACAACTTCGTTTCTTTTCCCTTCAATGCTATGTCATATACAGATATCCTTCGAGTGACACGATATTGGATTACACGGAGTCTCAAATAGCGCGGTCAAAAATTCCGGAAATTCTCAAATAACACGATACTTGAGTCGCAGTTCAAGTAACGCGGTCACTCAGTAAAGGACGATGCACACAGGAAAATAAAAAATTGTATCTTAACTTTTTAAGGCCCATGCATTCACCCCGTTTAAGTAAAATTTTTCTATTCAATAAAATAGTTTCAAAAAACGTCCTTAATGAATTTGGTAGTCCGAATAAAATTGACCGTCGAAAAGTACAATTTATTAAATGTATATAATTATATGTATTCATGTTTATATGATAATGAATATAAAAACGCCTTGTGCTGTAAGATGACATCGATAGAAAAATATATTCTATCTAGGATAAATCAATAGTATCATATCGATGGAATCATTTGTCAATATAAAAAATTTGAGAAGTAAATACATATAATTATATATACTAGGTCCATCTACAGAGAGACTTGAAACGTTAAGCAGGATTGGATAATAACTCTAGTTAATCCTATATTAATTCTATATTTAATTTTGTAACTTAGAAGTAAAATTCAAAAGTTAATAACTTTTAACTTAGCTAATTTCAAATGAATTTAATTTAAACTAGCTATTTTAAAATGCATTAACTTTAACTTATTAACGTTTATATATATATATATAGATTAAAATAATGTATCAATATTAAAATCATTACGGGCTGCTTGTAACATAAAATGAGAAAACTAAAAAATAATGTCAGCAGAATTATGTTTCGTCTTCTTGAACATCAGTATTTTTTTTTGTATGGAATTCAGGAAAACAGTATATTTTCTTATAAAAGATTACCTTTTCATTATTTCACGTAAGTTCAATCCATGATTAATTAGTTGATTTATACAAAAATATATATACGTATATAATACGTATATAATAAACGTATATATTACTTTGCATAGTCAACTTTTAACTTCAATAAATTCATTCAAATTCAATGTCTAGCATAAATTTTAATTAAGTCCCCAAGGAACACAAAGTAACAGTAACATAACTGTTGGTTGTGATTTCCCATTCAACAATGTAACTGTTATATAACACACGCGTTATATTACATTTATAATTTTAAGTGGGAAATTACAACTGACAGTTATACAATTGTTATTTGATGTTTGCTGGGTTATTATTTGTTTATGTAATTTTTAACTCTCTTAACTCTGTAAGTTAATTTTATAAACCACTAATTCTAAACTTAACTCAATTGAAAAAACATTAATTTACTAACCCTGATCCTAAGTCTCAAATAACACAATTTTGAACGAGATGGTGTAAATTAACCGTGTTATTCAAGGGTCATTAGTCAAAGAGTCATTTGTTTTACCTTAAAGGCAACCTAGTTCAGCTAAAAGGGACAGAACTGTATTGCTACAAGTGCAATTCGACAGAGAAGATTTTAATACGTATTTTGCTCGGCAATTATCGTTGAAACGCAGAAACATGCTGTTAATGTGAACGCTATTACTGTATTTCCCACGTTTATGTTCCACGACAAGCTATCTTCGGTACGATCGTATCGGGTTTCCTGACTGTTTGTAATCCAGAAGTATAGTTGTGCGTGTAATCCTGTATTTTGCTTCATCGAGAGAGAGAGAGAGAGAGAGAGAGAGAGAGAGAGAGAGAGAGAGAGAAACAGAATTTGACAAAGAGCAAAGAGGACAATTGGGAATAAACAATTAGCGCAAACGGTCGCGTTTGTTGCAGATGATGACGTGGTGGTTTACGACCTTCATGGCGCCAGCCATCAAGCAAAAGGTTCACAATTTGCCCGGAGTGGAGTATCTCTACGAAGTAATGTCGCCTGACCAACTCGAGATTCCGGCGTACATCACAGAATATGATATGACGGTAAGCGACAAGAACCCTATTCATAACAAACGTTAACTTTTCATACTTTTTAGTCGCATTTGATATCTCAGGCCGACGCGAAAGTTTTTATTAAAGAGAGCGCTTATGCTCTCATAAGCTTTCAGTTCTATTTTGTGCCTTTTTCTACCTTACTTCTTTGACCGCACTTTTTCTTGTAAATTCCTAATTAATATTCAAGTATTCTATTTTCGATAAAAATTTATATCATTAATGTTTTAATTAGAACTTTTATTAAAATATAAGCATAAAATATAGCTAATATGAACGTTCGTACGTTTTGGAACGCGATTTTAAGAGTTAAGGGGCTTTTTACCTTTAGAAAAATAAGTTACAATAGTTCGCATTTTTCTCGCTTTTTTAAAACTCTGCAATGTCTTGAACTATAACTTGGCACTTTATTATATAAATATAAAAGAATATTAAAAATATAATAAATTATTCAAATATTTTGTACATAAAATTTTAAACTCGGCCCAAAATTTTAAACTATTATGCCAAAATTTACACACAACTGCAATAAATTTATTACTATTTGTATGATAGTTAAACCAAATATACAATATTTTCTATATATGTATATAAGTATAAAAAAATATAAAATAGATAAAAAATATTCTATTCTGATAAATGTACTTTTTCGATACTACAGCTTGGATTACTCGTTATTTGTAATGCCATTATGAGAAAAAATTTTATCTTGTTTAATAATTATTGTGTAACGTATAATACTATTGTGTATGCACGTCTATCATAATCAGAAAATGAAATATTCGTTGCGCTTCTAAGCCGTAATGGGCGTAAACATGTCGTTCACATCGCGTTGCTTGTCGTCATTTGAAACTGTTGCACAAATCAATTTACTGAATCAACTTTAGATTGAAGAAAACAGAGAATATTTTTGGTTCTTATGAATCAAATTCGAATTCTAAAAACCAGAAATTCTGCTTCCTTCAATCAATTTGGTTCATTTTTAGTTCATTCAATGTCAGGTTAATTCAATTAAACTTTTCTAGCATTGTCTAGCATAAAGTATCTGTCTAGCATTGAAATAATACATAATATATATGAAAGATATATTCAGAATAAGAAAATTTTTTTTCATTCGCGTTTTAAAGTCATTGAAGATGTTTCATACTTCATGGAGAAAATTATTTCTGCGCGCACATTTTATTTTTGTTTTTTAAAAATCTCATTCTTAAAATAAAAAATCTAGTAATTTTCTTCGAATTTTTTCTTGAAATTTTTTCTACTTTATAAACGTATTCTAGACAGGCAAAGCTATTACTAAGATACTTTCGTAATTTCTTCGATAACTTTTCTTAATGTCTATGTCTTCCAGAAAGAATAATATTCTCTGTGTACAATTTTTGAGAAATCTTATACGTTGAAGTTGAAAACATGGTTTCAAGATAAACGCGTTTAAAATATTAGATATAATAATTCTGAACAATCATTATATTTTTTGAATATTCCTTTATACTCATAATAAATTTACCAAGTTACAAATCGATACGCTACAGAGCTTTTTCAGAAAAAATTTCGAAATACAGCCTACCCAGCAAACATAGTGTTGCATGTAACATACCTATTAGTTGTAATTTCCTACTTAACAATGTAACTGTTATATAACACACATATGTTATATAACAGGTATATTACATGTAACTTTATTTTTGCTGGTTTGTTTTTCGAGCGATCGAAAATCCTTTGAGTATATTTTAATTTCAAGTATGTTTGTTTTCGTTTATCTCATATAAACGTCACGTATAATATATTTCATCTTGAGAATCAAGAAGGCGTATTTAGCGACCAATAGGCACTCAGAATAGTCGACTGCAAATAAAATTAAGAGTACTGATCTCTCTCTTTCTCCTTTTCGACATTCGGGAGGAAGGATCACGTCTCACGAGCCGGTGTCGCTTCTTCTTGCAGATAAACGGTCTGAGGTATTACCAGCCGGAGCAAGTGTCATCAGCGCCGTCGACGTCCACGTAACTCGCAGGTGAAAAGCGCGATGAAGGCAGCGAAGCGTCAAGAACAAGGCCAGATCGGGTGTTCCGCACGTTCGTGTTGTTGACTGTTCGTATTTTTACGGTGGCACCGGTGCGCCACTTGAGTGTGCGAGCGAGCGTTTGCACGAGATTCGTGTCCCGCCGCTTGTCAACGGCGGCGATAAGGCGAGGAATGCGACGCTGCATAGATACATTAAGCCGTATCTTGGAGAAGGCAGTACGGCCCCGCGTTACTCCCCCGAAGTCGATTTGTCCAAGTGCCTCCGAGTGACGGACAGTTTAAGCAGGTTGAGGGAAGAGATGCGAAGGGATGATCGGCCGTATGTATAGAAGAACATGAACGCTACTAATCAAGAAACCACTGCCCGCCTGCTTTCGACGTAGACCGGTTCTTCTCGAACTCGCGCGCAGACTCTCGCGTCCCCGAGGAAGCACGAGGAGAAGATACGAACAAGAGAAATATAGCGGTGTTGCACACAATCCGTGATAAGATGAGTTGGTAATCGAGAGAAAGAGAGAGAGAGAGAGAGGAGAGGCCGAGGACCGACCGATATGCGTACTGCTCGAGGTGCTAAGCAGCGTGTACTCATCTCATCCCATAATAGAGCTAACAAACTACTATTCGCTTAGAGCGAACATTGGCTGCCAAAACATCAGTAATCAGTATTTCCACCGCCGCCGCCACCGCCGCCGCCGCCGCCGCTGCCATCGCCATCGCCGTCGGCGTCGACGTCGTCGCCGCTTGCAAACACGAAAAATCCAAGGCTAAAATATTAATCTCGCCCCTGTACATATTACGCTATTCGTGGCAGATTATTAGCTTAGTACTGCCTGTGAAAGCGGTAGAAAGGATTAAAAAGGATGGGGAAAAAAGAAGGAGAAAAAGGAGGGAAGTATCTGACGACGCGTTGTTAGAATAAACGTCGGCTTAATACAGGACCGTCGATCGCTTTCTGTTATTTTCGTATCGATCGTTATACAGCGAAGAGCGTCTACTACTTCATTATTGTATATTGTCAATATTTTATTAAGCCACATCGTTGACGAAGTTATCGTGCCGCGTCTCGCCCGCGCTCGCGCACGCGGTATTTTCGAGTAGGGATTAATTAACGACAGATCGTCTCGGAAGCCACGAGAACGGAGAGCGGCTGGATCTTACTGTGATGTCCATGTCTTCGGCGCTCGGCGAGTTCGAATCATAGAAATAACGTTAAACCGCGCTCACACACGACCTGGTCGTCGTCCTCGTCGGCTTCGACGCGGAGAAACGCACGAGACGATGTTTCGCGATGTTAGACGTTCGACGCCGAGCGCCGAGGTCGCGTACGTACGGGACAGTCCTAGATTAGAAGAAGCAATAAACTTAAGAGCTTGCTCGCGATGTATTTCGGGAGGTAAAAAAAAAAGTCGTTATCGCCCCCCCCCCTTTCCCAACCCTTCATTCCTTCATACGTCCCCTCCGCCCTCCTATCCCCTCGCCCCGTTGTTAAGCGTTTTTAGCGAGTAAAGAGATGAATTAAAGGAAGTTGAAACCTGTTAAATCGCGTCGATTAGCCCATTTCTCACGCCCGCCGAATCGCGAACGTTCTCCCCTCTCCCTTTCCCCCTACCCTCCCGGCTATGTCTGCACACAGAAAAATACAAACTGCATTCGGGTGAATGTTTTTCAAGTGTTTCACAAGTTTGTATATCCGCGAGTCTATAAGAAGTTCATCGTGAGCGTCAATTTTAATCAAAATATACTCCGAATCTTGATCAATTCAGTGAAGCATTTCAATGAAGAATATTAAAGCGAAGAATGCAAGGACCAATGAGAAAGCCAATGCACGAATATTACAGTACAGTAAATTCAACCGATGCAGATTATCCACGGAAGTCAGGATATTATTTGATACAACTCAACAATTTTCTTGCAATGTGTGATTTTGTACGACTTGCTGACGCTATATCTATTTGAATTTGATAAACTTGACTTGTTATCTGTCATTGAGAAAGCCCCGAATTGGGCCGAAATTTGAGGTGGATTAAATGATATCCTGACTTTTGTAGATAATTTGCATTGATTGAATTTATTTCGCCATTATAGAATCCGCATTGACTGTATTAACCTTGCATTGATTCTTATTAGTCCTTGATTTTAATCGTGAGGAAAACTTCTTAGAGATCATTAAATTAAGACGAACATTAAATTTATTAAGAACATTAAATGTAATTAAGAGAACATTAAATTAAAACGATAATTCGGTTTGCTTACTGCAAAGAGGGTGAAAGCAACTTCTTCTCTGATAGTTTTATTACATTTTTACAAGGAGAACTAATTCTTTTTTCATATACATGATGATAAGCTTCTTTAAAATTTATGATTTTAAATATTGAAATTCGTTTTAATTAGTGGTTATTATTTTAAAACTCAAGAGAATATTCTTTGTTATTATTTTAAAACTATTATCAAGAGAATATTCTTTGTTGGAGATAACCGTCACGTGTGTGAAAGAGGAAAAGTGAACTGAGCAATTATTTTTCTCGGCGATAGAATAACATTTTTCTGTGCGTAGCAGCGTCCTCCCCCGCCAGCCGCGCCTCTTCGCACCGCAATACTATTTGATCTTTGGGTTATTGATTTTCGGCACGATCGGGAGGATCACTTCGTGCTTTTGATCGACCGCGGACGAACTGAGAAGGCAATGGGTTAATTGACCATGCTACCTCCGCCGAACGATACGATCATCCGTGTTATCGCGCGAATGCATAAGTGTTTATACGCATTGAGAGATTTAGAGAGTTATCGAATTTAATGAACAAAAAAAATAGAGAAAAAAGAGAGAGATATATATACATATATATATATATATATATACATACATAAATATATAAAAGAAAAAGTGCTACTCGCGCAACTGCCGTCGTTATTCGCAGCGATGGAGTAGTATTTTTTCATGTTACCTGTATCTACGTGCGTTATGGTTTGCATAGACTTTTAATACTGTTCGCACTGCGAATAGTCGGAAAATCCGGAAGATCTCGCACTATTCGGAGGGGCCAATAGTATCACGCGAATGGCATAAAACGAGATATTTTTCACCTTTGCGTTTAACGACCTCACTGTCCGTCCCTGACAATCGTGTTTAATAAGTAGCGAAGTGAACTTCAAGAACTGTCGCTCGAGGATATCGTTCAGAGAGATCATTGTTATCGATATCTTACATAAGCCATTGTTATTTTCAGATTCCGCCGACGATTCCTATGCTATGCGACCGCGAACGAATGCCAAAAACCGCGAAACTGCGCGCGATGATTCATTTCCTCGGATACGGATGATGATCTTTTCGTTTCGATCTTCGAACATGTCGTACTCCTCACCGTTCAACCTTTCGAGACACGCTCGTACACGACGTGAATGAAATTTAAGTGACGAAAACGACGAACATCGATTAAGAGGCGGTTCTAGTTTAGATAATCGAAAAAGTAACTTTCTACGAATTTTTTTCAAAAAAAATTAATAAAGACATCAATGTAGAGTTTTAATTATTTATCATTTTTTTTTTAGAAGAAGATTTTTACTTAGAAAGAGTTGAAATTTCGTCGTCCAGATTTTTCTGCTGAGCGCGTTGTCGTCGAACACATCTAACTGGTAAATATGCTTGTGTTATAATTTGAAACAAGATAGGACAGGGAAACTTAAAAACTGTGTTAAATTTGCCGAAAGATGAACTTTTATTGTATGCAGAAATATGAATTTTAACAAAATAACGTCACTTCAAAATTACATCATTTTGTATTCTTTTCTTTTTTTATTTAATGTCCTGGAAAAAATTTGGAAACTTTTCAAAGAATTAGAGATTCATCCTCCGGCAAATTTAATACAATTTTTAAGTTTCCTTGTTTCATTAATTTCAGATTATTACACAACTTGTAATGTTGTCCACCAATTAAAGGCGCTGCGCCCAGCACAAAAACTTGGGCGGAATTTCAATTTTTTAAAATAATTTTTTTTTATATTTACAATGTTAAACAATATGACCAAAACTTTACATTGATATCTTTATTCCTTTCGTTGAAAAAAATTTGTAAAATCCTCTTATTTTTTTCGGCTTTTTAAACTAGGATCTTTTCCTGAGATTTTGATAATTTGTTTACGTTGAACTGTTGACAGTTGAGTCTGTGTCGGCGTGTAGTCACTCGAGAAGATATTGGTAGATTCTTATATATATTATAATACAAATCATCTCTCTCTTAAGGTCCTAATCTAGTCCAATCATGTATTGATCTGCTGAGCAAGCTTGCTTTTTTTAGCCGAACACGCTTTTATAGACCAACACACATAAAATTCATCTTTATTTCATTGCATCTTTCATTTTCTTTCATTTTTTCTTTATAAATTCGAGTCTTCCTGAATTACGTCAAACAGAAGACTAATTCTAAGATTTCATTTCGATGCCTCATTGTGATCATTTGACAAAATGTGAAATAAATAAAATAAATGTATAATATAAATTAGAAAATCTAATAGTCCTATTTGTGCTTAGTTATCACACTCATGTTCATACAAATTATTGCATATTCAAATTAATCAAACTTTTCAACATCCAGCTCTTTTTTGTCGGGAAGTATACTAATTAAAAATAAAAAAAGAGAAAGTTATTCCTAATGGATCACTCTGTCAACTCTGACAATTTCCATGGAAACCGCGAATCAGCTAGACTAGGACCTTAATAACCGGGAGATTCAGCTCGGTAGTATCGATACTTTAAGACACACGGAATGGCAGCGCAATCTCGTCTTACAAGTAGCACCGCGAGTCGAGACGTTCTTTTCCACATGTCCTACTTTAAAAGAAGTAGAGAAGCTAAAAAAATCTATTACTACTCCTTTAAAGGAAGAAGAAGAACAACAATCCGTAAGAAGACTATTACAACGTAAGAGAATACAAGCCCGTGTTTTCTTGCCCGACTTTTTTTCCGTCGCGATAGAATAGCAAGTCGTTATCGGCGAATATACTTTCTTACTTCCTGAGCTGTTCCGTACTTGTCAAGGTAGCGCTAAGAATAGCAATTACATTTCCCTCCCCTCCGCACACATTAATTACTATATCTATCGAGGATTTTTATTACGGGCCGCGCTGATATCGTTACGATTTATCTTATCACATCGACGAGTCTATCGCTTTCTTACGTAAGGAAAAACAATGTTTGTTTTATACATTCGATTCTACCGAGGGATCGTACGACTGTCATGAATAAGGCACCGCTTGCTACCGCAGCACCTCGCGTACAACTACTACCGTTCGTCGCTATTACGACTTAATACACAAGAAACTGAGGAAGGTGCGTATGTGACTGCGATCGGTGAGGAGCGAATGTCGCGGCGCGATCGAGCAGTCGGTATTTCGCGATCGCGCGTGCGCGTGTAATTCAGTGAAAAGTGAGAAAATTGCGCCAAGTATCGACATTCGGATTTACTCCAAACTCGCGGAGTCGTCGTAACCAAAAACGTGTACTTTGCGACTGTCAAGTCATGATGAGCCTGGATGTATCTTTTGCGTGGCGATTCGCGACGCACGTTGAGTTGCACAAGTATCCCGTGAGCTGCGCAACCTCGTGATTTTGTTAAACAATACAGGGCCCGATAGATTTGTACTTAAGCGTAGACAACCGACGACGAGCTCCGCGCGTTGGCGCGAAACATCATTTATCGTTTCCCTCTCGATGTCGACGCACGACCTTTTAACATGTGCACTTCTTTCCCCCCGACCCCGTTGTATTCTTTGTTTTTTTATAGAATAATAAACATATTATTTCGATAAAACCTACAAAGTCTCCGGCTGCATTTTCATTTCACCTGCCGGAGAAGAAATTTGTTTAGATTAAGAGAAGGCAGGACTCTTAACTCTCAAAACGACTCTTGCTGTCAATGTAAACTCGACTCACTCACAGAGAGCGCTTTATTAAATAATATTAATATGTTCAAAAATTTTTTAAATTCACGTAAGTCTTTTGAAGTGTTAATTAAATACTCAAGTCATTAAATTAGATAAAAATTTATTTTGAATATTTTATGTCTATTGTTTCTTAAGAAAAGATCACATATATTAACATGGCTTATCTAAAAAATGTATAGTTCCTTGAAATTTGACTTATAAAAAAAATATACTTTAGAACTTTTTTAATATTGAGTCCATAGTTTAAAAAAATAATTATAATTGTCACTTAAAGAAAAAAGTAATTATTACAATGCATGAAAACAGAGTTTATTTTAGGAGAAGTAAAGGTGTTAAAATTAGGAAGAAAATAATTTATTTTGTATTTGTATTGAATGTCTCATGAAATATGAAAGCTTAAAAATTATCCAAACTTTCAAAATATGTTCACTTTTATCGCAAGAATAAGTATATACTAACACGTTTTTTAACATTCAAGTTTTGATCAACGGAAACTAGATTCATAATCCCCCTTTGCCAATTTGATCACTTGGCAGATGAACAGGAACTGACCGAGCCCAACAGGTTTCTGACCCTTAAGTATCTTTACCACACTTTTTCCCACAGAAAACTCATAGTAAGAACACATATATTTTCGAGAAATTTTAGATAATTGAAGTTGGTCAAACTTCATGATCTCATGAGTCCACTTTGAGGAATGAAATTTTGGAAAAATCAATTTTTGATTCTTTACATAATCATACAAAGCTATCTTTCCTGAATTCTCACAAAACTTATTTCATGATACAACTCTCTCTCTCTCTCTCTTTATTGTAAGAAAATAATAAAACATTTTCCAACAACGTCTGAGCTACCTTCATCATGGAACTATAAAGAATCAGCTCACAAAATTTCTAAAAATTTTACTCAATCTATTTTCGAGTTATCAATGATAAAAGATAGGCTTTATTTTTCGCCTCTCACGTATTCATGTTATGAACGAACCGGACGCATTCTCGAAAAATATAGAATCTCTGGCTCTCATAAGAATTCGGTTGTAAGAATCAGAAGTGCTGTTTCCTTCAAGAAAAATACTTTTAGTTCGTCTCTTTTCATGTTAATTCCAGACAATGAAAATTGATTTCTCTACGACGCCCGATGACACTCCTCTCGAGTGGCCAAGCATATGGCAGATATTAAACTTTGAACGCACGTTTGAACGTTGGATCACGAACGCTACGCGCCCGTACGCATATCTACGTACCAGGCGCGCACATGTATACGTCTCGGCCACCTATAGGTGCTTGTTCCTGTTCGCATCACGACGCGTCGCAACAGTGAGACCTGCGACATCGTGGCGAGCGCTTCGCCGAGAGCAACGGAAGCGAGTAAGCACACCACGCGGCAAACACGCGCGAACGTGGGCGTGCGATGAGACCAGTCGTCCCGAAAGGCACCGTCTACCTGTCACGTGTCGGGAAAAAGGTCCGGGATTTTACGCATGCCGGCGAGAGATCGCACGTTCTGCAGGTAAAGAAGTGAAACGTTCGCATTCCCGGTTTGTGACCGCTTCGTTCGAGAGTCTCAGATAAATGTATTTTCATAGTTCATCACGAACGCAACTTATTAAATTATTGTCACGTATTTGCATGTGCAAATATCACCGAAACCGGGAAGTATCGTCGATTTCATCGCGTGAATACGCTGTGAGAAAATAATTTTCAACGAAGAAATAATATTTCTTCGGAACCTCTTGTACGTTTCTCTCTTTCTTTCACCTCTCTCTCTCTCTTTCTCTCTCTTTCTATCTCTATTCTCCCCCTCTTTCCTCCTTTCTATATGTTTAGAAGCATCGACGTAGGACGCTAAAACGTGTTACAAGGAAAGTAAGTATTGTCGATAACTGGTTATGATGATGAATTAGTTAGTAAAGTTCAATGGTCATTTTTGCGATCTTTGGTCTCCTCGTTTAATACAATACTTCTAAGAGTTACGCAAAACCTTTTTTACTAGGATCATGACTCGATGGAACAATACGTAAGATTTACGTGTGCACAAATGTCTTCGAGTTATGAGCAATTGATAACATATAAGATTGATGTTAAACAACCAAACAACTCGTAATTTGCCGTTGAACCTTGTAGAATTTGAAGAGACTATCGTGATTCAAATGTATGCAAACATATACAGTTAGACTGTACGGTATCGCAGAGTTTTTATTATCTCTCGCGAAGGATTGACTGTACTATTTGGCGACGCGCCAATTTCCTACTAGGAAGAATAGAAATAGTATACTTTCGCACAGCTGCCTTCGGTCCGAGATAGAATTCGATTCATGACGCAATCACGACTTATCGTTAAATATATAGATAAACTGATCGCGGAAGCAGCCGACTTCAAGTGCGCTCCACTTTTAAAACAAATACACAGGCGATACCTGCAATTTCTAATACATAAACACATAATTTATTTGTAATTTATAATGTTTTAGCGCATTATATTTATACACGTACACGCACATAGTATTGAAGAAAAGATTAAAGACTTATAAAATAGATATTATATCCAACAAACACAGAATATAACTAGGTAAATAGATATAACGCAGAAGAACTATATAATAATAATAAAAATAGTGGTTTATATATTATTAATGTTAAAGTTACATAATCTCCTTTTGTAAATGCAATATAATTTTTAAAATTGTCATATTACTAGGTTATTTATCGATTATATGAGAACAACATAAATTAAATATAACATGTCATATAACAAGTGTTTACATTACATTTATGTAATATTTTTACACAATGTTGGATCACTTGTAAATAATTCATTTTCTCGTACGTTTCTTATATGTAAAGTACATACATACATTAACATACATAAAAATGATGATCATGAAACGGCAAGATTTGTAGAGTCCTTATAATGAAGAGACCTTTTGACACTTTTTGATTAATTACTGTGACAGTAATAACCCCGCTCAATGAAACATTTATAAGGATAAGACTGAATAAACGGTAATAATAGTAAGATGAATGGATAGAATAAACGATAAGTTTAGATAACACGAAGTGTGAGGGCACATTCTGCCCAATGAAAAATTTTTCATACATAATTATATAAAATTATATAATATTATATATAATTATACATAATTATATATTATTATGTATCAAATTTGTCCATTCATATTCATACATTCTACTTATATATATAATCATATATAATCATATATAATTATATATATAAATTCATATATAATTTTACATAATTATGCATAGATTTATATGAAATTATATATATTGGTATACATAATTGTGTATAATTATATATAATTTTATATGATTACATATAATTATACATAATTATGTATGGACAAATTTCATACATAATTATGCATGAAAAATTTTTCATCGGGTGGATATGCTTCCCGAACATTTTTCTAATGTTAAAATGACTCTAAGGTATATATAATTCTAAGATATCTTGTATTATTTAGAAACTAATTAATTTAGAATGGCAAGATATTTTATATTATTATATCATTATTATTTAGATTTTATATTGTTTTACTATAAAGATGTTACATTTGATATAAAAAAATTATAGCTTATTCCTTTGTAGAAAGATTTTTTTCTTTTTTTACAAATTAACTCACATTTTAGTGACTAACTAACTGTGATTAACTCACAATTTATAACCGTTGTATACGATTAAATACTTATAGTTACTGTGAAATAGATAATTCATTTTCCAGCTATATATTTCAGTAATATATACCCAGACAGCACACGACGTTCAATGGACGTCCAATTTTGGTGTTTGTTTAGTTCCAACGTCCATGGACCTAATATCGACATTTTAATTACGTACATTAGTGGATGTACAAAATACGTTGACTTTTGTACGTTTTAAAGACGTCCATTTTATATATTTCTATAGAACATATGTTGAGTTCGCATATGCCTTCATTTATTAATAGTATAAACCGGTTTTACTAACACGAATGAATTTAAACAATCGATTAAATTCATCTTCTCTATTGGAACAATTGTATCTGGCAAACGATAATGTGATTAGTTAGTTCCATCGAAAAAGTTATCATTACGAGTTTTTGAAAATTGCGAACAAATTGACCCCTCAATTTATATTATTAATAAAAAACCCAACTAGCAAAACAATAAAAACATTTAAACATTTAAAAATATTTTAAAAACATTTAAAAAACATTTTTAAAACGTTAAAAATAATGGGATAAGTTCCCATTTTTCATTAAAAAAACATTTTTAACGTTTGAAAAAATGTTTCGTTTTTAATATTTACTAGAAGTTTGACATCCATTAAATATTAAAAAAAACATAACATTTTCCAATCCATTAAAGAAAACATTTCTTAATGAAAAAAGGAAATTTACCCAAACAGCACATAATATTTATGATAAAAATTCATAAATATTTAGGTCGAATTATTTTTTAAAAATATTATATAAATATTTTATAAATATATCTATACATAAAGAAAAAAATAAAATCTTTATTCAAAATATTATTAAAATATAAACTAAATATTTTATACAATATTTATAGTAAATAAAAAATAAATATTTGTAGTAATAATTTGTAAATATTTCTATAAATAGTATACATAAAAAAATAAGTGTAATTATTTATAATTATTAAATTATTGAGAAAATAATAAAATCGAATTTAAATTGGTAATGTATACTGAAAAAATTCTTTAAATTAAAGAAATATATTTTATTAAATATAATTTCTTAACTTATAAAAGTATTTGTTAGATTTTAAAAAATAAGTAATAAATATAAAGTAATATTTTTTTAAATTTGTGAAATGAGCTGTAAAATTATAAATTTCTAGAAAAAAAATGACTTCTTTACAAGAAGAAAATTAATTTTTTTTTGTAAAAACTATGTTAAAATAAATATTTGCTTGTTTTAAAAATAAATAAAGTACAAGTAAATCATTTTATAAATCTAAATAAATTATTTTCTAATATTAAAAGTATTTTTTTTGTGTTTCAAATTAAAGTTCCTTTTATCATCAGAAAACAATTTATTTAAATTTACAAAATGATTTATTTGTATTTTACTTTTGAAACAAGTAAATATTTTTTAAATATACTTTTTACATACTTTTCAAACATACATTTTACATTTAAAACATTTCTATTCTCTTCTTTTAAATAAATCGTTTGTTTCATGAATATACCATATGTACATGAATATACCATATGTACATGAATATACCATATGTATACAATACAAAGTCTCTCAAAGTGATAGTGGCACAATAGGTAAGGTGACTGACTCTAGAACCAGAGATCTCAGATTAGAATCGGAGCAATAGTAAGCAATTTTTCGAAGTAAAATTTAACTTGAATAAAGTAATGTGTGAAACAATATAAAATGAAAACTAAGAATATATATATTTTAAAATTTTAAGAAAAGTTCAGAAAAGAGAAAAGTATATAAATGTATATATTTTAAAATAAATATTTTTATAATATTTATAATAAATATTTATGATCTATTGAAGCTAAAGTCATAAAAATATTTATGAAATATTTTGGTAAATATTTGTAAAATATTCAAATACATCTTATAAATATTTTATAAATAATTTATAAATATTTTGTGCTGTTTGGGTATCTCATTATTTTCAACGTTTTTAAAAATGCTTTTTCAAATATCTTTTAAATATTCTTTTGGTGGTTAGGAACATTCAATATTCAAAATTACAAACATTCTATTTTTGTTCTAAGAACGTCCAGTTTTAGTCCGGTGGGTCCTTAATTCGGATGTCTTTTGAACATCCATAAAAGTAACAACGGATGTTTTTAAAATGTCTTAGAAACGTTGTGGATCTGAAATGGACGTTTTAAACCCTTATAGAAATATACTAAGAATCATTGATAATTACTTATTATCCAGTATTTTTAATACTGAAAATAAATAATTATCAATGATTCTTAGTATGATATTTCTATAAGGAAATAGTACACAACGTCCAGTACATACGTTTTTAATACGTTTTTAAAACGTCTTTGTGCTGTCTGGGTGTATATATATATATATATATATATATATATATATATATATATATATATATATATGTATATATTTTGCTGAAATATATAGCTGGCCCATCTAGCCTGTCATACTGATGCTACAGCGCGTACAGCGTTCGTCTCACCGCAACGCGCGTACTGATTGGCTAGTGGGCTGTTGTTTGGTAGAAATCTTTTATCGTTAATATCTCAAAATTTTACGTAGTTGTTTAATGAAAGACCGATTCCATTACTCACTCCGACTTATTCTAGTTATATATTAGCTCTGGTACGGTACAAACCAGACACTCTGTATACGCACAGCATATATACATGGTATTCCAGACTCTCCTTCGCAATTTTTGTGGGAACGTAGAACAAATTGAGATGAACATAAAAGTCTCATATCGTTTTGCGATATTCGCAATAAATCTCAAGATATTAATTAAAAAAGATTAGTGAATGATTACGCGCGATATGGTAGATGAGCTGCAGTGGCGCCGTCTGCCGTTGTATATTTATACATTAGGTCAAACTGAACAAAAAAGTTCTCTATCATTTTGTAAATGACCACATAGATTTTTAGATATTAATTAAAAAAAATTTGTGCATTATGGTACACAATCATGTAACAATTTTCTTTAATTAATATTTAAAAATTTATATGGTCATTTGCAAAATGGTAGAGGACTTTTTTGTTCAGTTTGACCTAATGTATAAATATACAACGGCAGACGGCGCCACTGCAGCTCATCTATCGTATCGCGCGTGATTACTCACCAAATTAATTACTCACCTTTTTTAATTAATATCTTGAGATTTATTGTGAATATCGCAAAACGGTATAGGACTTTCTTACTCATTTTAATCTGTTTTACGTTCTCGCAAACTTTGGCCAACTATTTCTGAAGCACCCTGTATATACACAAACATATTAGTAAATGATCACGCACGATAAGCTGTAATGTATGTTACATAAAGAATGCACATGTTATATTACATGGTACATTTCGTTACGATAATGAAAGAGTTATATAATTGTGTTCATCCACTAAACTTTAAGTAGAAAGTATTTAATAAAGATGACTCGAAAAATTAGTTTTTTCAGAATTAGAATCAATATTCAGTTTGATGATGTATATGATTTGCTTGCTTATGTTATTACATACACGTGAAAACAGAAAATTATACCATAACTATGTAACTGTGTAACTATGTAACAGTGAACGGCATGTTATTACAAAACTCTTCGGAATCGATTCCGATTAGATAATTCCGTCTTTACCTATCTTATCTATCTTACCAAGAAAAAAATAATAAAAACTTACAAAATAACGTGATAATTCCGATCAGAACCCATTTAAAAAAATTCCATAATACTTGCTCATATGTGTAATTATAGTCAAATGTCTAATATTTTGAATTGAAATAAAATGATAAGATTAGCTCTTGTAAAATCATATAGAAAGCGGGATATGTCGAACACCTCTTGTAAACATAATAATAAGAATAATATAATGTAATAATGAAGAATCTTCTGTTTCCATGGCATATGTGATAATATAAGCAAATAAATTAAGTATATCAAAGTTGGAAATAGCTTTTAACTCTGAAAGGATCGATTTTTCGACTCATGTTTATTATTTTTTACTCAGTTTAGTGAGTATTGTCTATCCTATAAATTTTAATGTGATTTTCTTTAATACTCCCCAATGAAAAATTTTTCATATATAATTATATAAAATTATATAAAATTATATATAATTATATATATTTATATATTATTATGTATCAAATTTGTCCATTCATGTTCATACATCCTACTTATATATATAATTATATATAATTATGTATAAATTTATATGTAATTATACATTTTGTTATACATAATTGTGTATAATTATATATAATTTTATATGATTATATATAATTATACATAATTATGTATGGACAAATTTCATACAAAATTTTGCATGAAAAATTTTTCATCGGGTCTGTATATACTTATACAGGCTAAGTCAATACTATAGTAACTACAGTAACTATAGTCACTAGGAATATCTTCAAAGCAAAAGCAAAGGTGACCTTTAAAGTTCCGAAGTTGCTCTGCTTAAAAAAAAGCGTTACTACCATAAGACTTTTATTAACTTTTTTCTAACATTTTTTTTAACTAGAATAACTTTTTCTATCTAGAATAACTTAGATCTGAAGATCAATTTTGTTTTTCGCTTTGAAGATATTCCACACACAAAAAATTGTTTTCCTAGTTCAGATAGAATTTTAAATGTCACGATAATATCATTAAAATTTATTGCTGTTTCTTTATCTGCTAAAATACTGTCTGTGGTATGAATTTATAGCAGCAGCATTCTAGAAATCTGCAGATTTATTTGCAAATAAATTTTGACTCTGTCACCAATTATAATTGATGTATCAAGTACGTATAAATGCTTACACAGGTACATGGTAGTTCGTTGATTGATACAACTCCAACGTGTATCAAGTACATTCTGACAACTCGGACTGAACGTGAGCGACAACACAACGGTAGATATGAAAATTTTGGGAATGACATTTGCACCGTTAAACATACTTCTCGAGAGGAAACTCCAGATTTTAACCGCCGCGACATCTGGAGCGCTTTTGGCGGCTTAATTATAATCATGCTCTGATTAATCATTATTAATCTTGTCTTTATCTGAATAGGCGCCGTAGAGAAACGTTCTTGTTAAATTTTTCAAATCGTTTATACATAAATTCTGTCTCTATCGTCTATATTAATTAAATACAAAATATATACAATATCACATGGTTTACTCATCATTTATCCGCTGATTTCTCATAAATAAATAATTTTTCTGCAAGACCAGGTGGCAATAGTTGCTGAATCATCCTGTGATACACATTCTCTCTCACACACGCGCGCGCGCCCGTTTCTTTCGAGGCAGTCCCAGTTTCTCATCGTTTGTCTCAGATTTTTTCAAATCCAGGACGCCAATTTATAAAAATTTATAAAAATAGTAACTATTGCTAAGATAAAACTGTTATTATTCTTACTTAAAATAAAAAAAAGAAGTCAAGCTACTGCATTTATCAAAGTTGTGAATTTTTTTGAAAAAGTCTCTCTTTGTCAGAATCATTTGAAAAATCTTCTAAACCGGTATAACCTAAAACAATTTGGTTAAATTGGAGATAAAATCCAATTCAACCAAATTGTTTTAGGTTATACCAGTTTAGAAGATTTTTCAAATGATTCTGACAAAGAGAGACTTTTCAAAAAAATTCACAACTTTGATAAATGCAGTAGCTTGACTTCTTTTTCTTCATTTTAAGTAAGAATAATAACAGTTTTATCTTAGCAATAGTTACTATTTTTATTGTGTATAGCAAACCTATATTGTTGTTAAATTATTTTTCTTATTTTTAGTGTGTGTGTGTGTGTGTGCGTGTATGAAGTGTCCCGATTTGGAGGAGCCTGGAAAATCTAGTTATCTTAATATTGTACGATAAATGTTTTATAACGCTAATATATCGTGCTTGATAACGCTGATTAATCGAAGCAACACGACCTGTTCTCGGCTCATCATATCGATATAAGGAAAATCGGAATGATATATAAAATGTATGTAGAAATACACACAGGTACATGGTAGTTCGTTGACTGATACAGGTGAACTCCAGCGTGTATCAAGAACATTGGTACTCTGACGACTCGGATTGAATGTGTGACAGCACAACGGCAGACATGAAAATTTTGGGAGTGAAATTTGCACCGTTAAAGGTACCTCTAGAAAGGAGACTCCAGACTTTGACCGCCGCGATATGGTTCATCTGGAGCGCTTTTGGTGGCTTATTCTCAGCCGTTATCACGGTCTATCTTCTTATCTACACGCAGACACGCTACTTCGTACTACTATATTTTCTTTGGATGTACTACGACTGGAACACTTGCAATCGCGGTGGTCGAAGGTAATCTTCCGTTCATTTAGAGCGAATCAGTAAAAATATTTCTGAAATCAGTAGAAGGAGTACTTTACCGATAATTAGTGAATATTCACTGATTTTCAGTGAAAACCCTCCCACTTTACCACTCCATCTTACCACTATATCTTATACTAATTTTGACAACTGAAAGTAAGATTTCATTGCAAAATCTGCAGTGGACAGATTAGTTATGCCAAACTTATTAAACAGATTAGTTAAATCAAACTTTCTACATTTGTACCAATAGAATTAACAGCTTTCATCTCATCATCTTGCGTGCGATGACATTTTCTGTGTGTACATATTGCCTCAAAATGGGAACAGTCGTTACTATTAATTAATCTTTTTTACGAGATTTTACTGATTGCAGTGTTATACTTGTGACTGAATCAGGAGTTATATTATTTAAGTGAAAAATGCTCTGACTATAATTCTTTATCGTCTTTGTCGTATGAGATGATCGAGACATGAAGATGAAACAAATGGAAACATCACATAAAATTTCTGGCACACAATAAAAAAGGATTTGACATGCATAAAATGAAAGAATATCATAAAAAAGAGAATTTCACACATGTAAGATGAATGAACATTATAAAATAAAAAAAAGAATTTATCACGATCAATATTTCTTTCAGTCACTTTACACAGAATAATCGCGCGTAACGAGGGTATACAAAACGTCGCGCATATCTATTTTCAATGATAATGACTTCAACCTGTGGCAATAGGAAATCTGTTTACGAAAATGAGAACCACTTAACATTTAAAGAACCATCATACTTTACCTTTCAGTTATGCGTGGACAAAATTTGCGAGAAGTAATGTATTCTGGCGTCACTTTTGCAACTACTTCCCCATAAAGCTGGTGAAAACGGCTGATTTGGATCCTAAGAAATCTTACCTATTTGTCTGCACACCTCACGGACTTCTATCGGCTGGAGTAGTGGGTTCATTCGGAACGGATATACTGGATTGCAAAAAGCTATTCCCCGGACTGGAAATGCGATCCATCATTCTTGACCAACATTTCAAAATGCCTTTCTTCAGGGAATACGTGTCCACATTATGTAAGAAGAGCCGACAGCATTCATCATTCATTATCTCGTTTAAAGAACGACGAACGTTCCCACACTCCATTCTCTCAAGAAGCTATAGTATTTTTCATATATATATTCAGGAGCTGAATATATATATATATATATATATATATATATATATATATATATATATATATATACATATATATTCAGGAGTTATTGAATCACATCCCCAATTTTTAAAATATTATATACTACTATATTGTACCACACACATATTTTTCGTCTGTGGATGATAGATTGAAAATCAGTGCGGTAAAATTACGATACGGAATTGTAACACTGCAAAAATGATAACCGAAACGGAGATGAACTTTATCAGTCAAAGATAGACAGATAATTCAACCAACAACGATAAGAGAAACGACAAGAGTTATAAACTTCCAAATCCGGAAATTGCCTGTAGTTACTTTTCCACTTCTTATTATTAGAACAGTCTATCTACTCTTGCCCGTTAATATACAAATGACACAAAATATTCTACTTATAAATATGATTATTATTAATATATGAGTTTTCTTATAAAATAGGAATGTTTTTAATTCTATTATATTCGAATCAAATATGCTATGAATGTATATAACAGTGTTTTTAGCATATATTTATAGAATGTACAAATATTCGAAAGAATATTCATAGAATAAATTCATAGAATATTCATAGAATGAATTAACGAAATAAATTCCTGTGTGTACTATTTAGGAAGGCTCTTCTCTTCCCGTTGTTTCGTGAGAATGCAGGATTATTGAGAGCGTGAATTTTTAATCAATAATACTCGAAACCTTTGAGGTACAATTCGATTATAACGATGATCCACACATACAGGTTGCTGCGCATCTAATGCAGAAAGTATCAAGTATTTATTGTCGTCACCGCCAGAAAGTCCATTTACCGGGAGAGCCACGATACTCATCGTCGGTGGTGCCTCAGAATCGCTCGAGTCGAGACCAGGTACATATCGAATCCTAGTAAAGAAGAGGAAGGGCTTCGTCAAATTAGCGCTACAACATGGGTAAGAATGGTCACTTCTTTACATATACACGGAAAAAAATAATTTTGCTCTTTTAGCAAAATCGTCGTCGCTACTGCATATTCGTAATTCGACATCAAAAAAATTTAGTTGATGTAACTAATTTTCAAATTATTCGTTATCAGAACAAAAGTAGTTTCGTTGCCAGGATAGAAAAAATTTGTTGAGTATATTTGTCCTAAGAATCACGTAATTTGCTATTGATGCAAAATAATGTATCCTTAGCAAATTTATTTGCTATCGGAACAAAACTGCAACTGCTTATACAGAGTGTCCGGTAACTGATTGAGCAACCGCCGTGTACGAGTAGAACGGGCCAGAATAATCATAAAAATTATATACCATTTTGAAATTTTCTCAATATTTATTCCATAATTAATTAAAATGTATAAACGAATGAGCTCACGAGAAGCTGTAGGACAGGCTCTGTGTGTAAAAGAAATGGCTTACCTCTTAGCAACAATGAGTAAACAGCTGATTTCGAGACGGAGTAACATATACGTGTCGCTTGTTGTAGATTCAGCAAATTATATCCAGCAAATAGTAATTAGTAATCTTAACAATTAGTAGTCTTAGCAAATCTTTTTGCTGTCGATAATAACGAAAAAATTTTGCTAGACCAGCTAGAAAATTTGCTGGATCAGCAAATTATTTTTCTCCGTGTAGCAAAGTTCGGAGTAGAAAATAAAATACAGGCGCAAAAGAAAATTAATTGAATCTAATGCGATCCATTTCAATTCAGCGTACCGTTGGTTCCTGTGTTCTCTTTCGGCGAAACGGACTTGTTCAATCAACTGTACGGTCCGGAAGGATCACTCTTTAGACGTTTCCAGCATTATATTCGCAAATCTATAGGATTAGCACCTGTTATCTTCTCAGGCAGAGGATTCTTCCAATATTCGTTTGGACTTATCCCCAAACGTGCGCCTATCTCCGTAGTCGGTAAAGTATTTCTCATAGACAGCACATAATATTTACAAAATATTTTAAATATAGATATTAAATATTTTATAAATATTTAAATATCCGAGATTTTCAGGTATGAAAAGGATTATAATAAATATTTAAAAATATTAAAAAAAACATTTTTCATAAATACTTTTATGAAAAAGTTTATAATTTATGAAAAATTTATGATAAATATTTTTCATAAATACTTCTAAATATTTATCATAATCTTTTTCATACTTGAAAATCTCAGACATTAAAATATTTATAAACTATTTAATATCTATGTTTCTAAAATATTTTGTAAATAATGGGTGTTTCCGAAATGTCCAGGGTTGAGTCAAGTTGAGTTAGTTTCACTATAGTATCCGTTACATATACTATAGTGGAACTAACTCAACTCGACCCAACTCTGGGTATTTCGGAAGCATCCATTGTGTGGGATATTCGTAATTAGAACACATTATGCGAATCGCACACATACGCTTGATATCTCATTGTTCTCACTAATTCAAAAGTGCGCATTCTTCCTCATTTCAGTCGGAAGTCCCATTGAGTTACCGAAAATAGCGCAACCTACAGCAGATCAGATCAACGAATACCATGAGAAGTTCATACAACGTCTAACTGAACTGTTCGAGACGCATAAGCACAATTACTTGAAAAACCCGGAGAAAGCTGTTCTTGAATTAGATGTATAATCGATCTAAGATATACAGAGTGATGTATACAGATACACAAGACACGTCAACACACGTGTGCAGATAGATTAAAACAAACTGAACAAAAAATTGTAACATTCAACAATAACAAAAAGTCATTTGTTACACAACCACATAAAATTTCGAGATATTTTTAAACATTGAAAATAAAAAACAGATTTTTTACGTGAAATTTTTTACAAAAATTGTAAGAGACATTTATTTGTAGTTTTATATATATAAGTATAATATTATATAATAATATATAATATATATTGTATATTTAAATATATAATATAATATTTTTGCATATATATATATATATATATATATATATATATATATAATTATATAAGTTTAAATTGTTTACAGTAATTTTTTATGTAATAGTATTGATAAACATTAAAAATATAGTATTTTCGGGAAAAGATTCACAAAAACATGTTGCGTTGACATGCATGATTTTGCAAAGACTAATGAACCGAAATAGAAAAACAAAGTAAATTATTAATAAATACGTGGCTATTGTTGGAACTAGAATAATAAAAATCAGAATATTCCATCAGTTTTTTTCACGAATTTCAGTTTTTTAAAAAATTTTGGTGGAGAAATCGTCAAAAAATTTACTTTGAATAAAAAAATAGGAAGAAATTAACATATTTTAATTTGTTTAGTTCTAATTAAAAAAGATGTAAATATGTAGCCATAAGCACAAGCCGATCGACTTATTAATTTGTCCACAATCGTGCATGCCAACATGTACACTTAAACCTTTTTCCGGAAATGCTTTATATCTTTAATGTTTATCAATATTTTTACATGAAAAAATTACTATAAACAGTTTAGACTTATAATATTATGTATATAAAACTACAAATAAATGTCTCTTATAGTTTTTGTAAAAAAAATGCACAAGGAAACCTGTTTTTATCTTCGAAAAGTATTTTCTCCTTAATAAAAAAAAATTAATGAATCAGTGTCCGCGACGCTGTAAGACGCGAACTCTTTGAAAATGACTGAAACAACTGTTTCTTAGTGACAGTAGTTATGGCTGACAATTCAGAACGGAGTAGAGATATAAATGACGCTGAGACAATTGTTTTTCGACATATCGCAAGCGTGTTTTACACGTGTCGCTAAAGAAATAGTTGCAAATCTTAGCCTTGGTTAACAACCTTGCTTCAAGCCGTAAGCAAAATTGTGGACTCAGGGTCAGACATTTTTTATAAACTCGCATCACAGAACTCTACAATGTCGCGTGAACTGATTCGCTGATTGGCATATCTTACGTAGAAGCACGCATAGATGAAGAGCGACGGTCGTGCGTCATTCGAACTACTTAGATAACGACTTTTATGCTCTTGTAAAAAGCTCAGGCAAAAAACATCAGTTTGCTCGGTTTTACTTTTGCATTAAAAAAAAAAAAGGATTCATTCGTATAAGTGATTTTTTGTTGTCTGAAAAACTCGATTGGAGGAACAGGAATTTCCCTGTAGAAAATTTCTGTTCGATCTAATATTCTCAGTTATCTCAACCGAGTTTCTGTTTCATGTAACATTCATCTAAATCAAGCATTCTCCCACTATAAAAGCTCCTCAAATGTTAAACTTGTTTCTTTACAAACCAAAATAGATTTAGGAAAAAGCGGTTTTATATATTTTATACCAACTCAAACGCACACTATAACATTGCTCATACTGGATTCTTATCTATGAAGATTTTTTGTGATGAATGTTAAGTGAAAATGTACAATCGCTAAGAACTTGTTAGCTTTAATGACTATACTTATAGACCATATTGTCATATGGATAATGACCAAATCAGGTATTGTTTGCTATATTGTATATAGTAAGTTCTTGTTACATTCCTATAACGAGTTGCAATCTTTGGTTTCTTATTAAGATTGACTATTTATCTTTCTCGAAGATAAAATCAAAAATTCCCAAATTTATAACATATCTTATAATTTTGAAATGTTTTTTATACGTTTCTGTATCAATAATTTTATTATTGTGAGTAATATGATTGTAATTTCACGGTTGTAATATCACGAAATCATTTTCTTTGTTAACTCTTAGACTGCAGATGCGCTCTCTGAAAGCCTTAACTCTCTCTGTTTACGGGCAGCGTCTTGAAATATCTGACAATTAAGTCTCATGGTGTGCGAACAGAAGCCTGAAAGCATTCAATATTCAACACTGAATGTTTATAGAAAATGAAGCATCGTGACATGCAGCGTTAGCTCCGCGCCACACAAAGTAATTATTTTGTTACCAAGCGACCTACAGTCTAAGAATTAAAATTATCAAAATTGGAAAATATAATGATAGTATTACATAGAAAGATTTATCATACGATAAAGGAAGAAAAGAAGAAGTATGTAAAAGATAAATGCTATTATAATATGAAGTACAACTTCATAAATTATAACACATACATATGTAATATTTACATACATTAAATATTAAACATTTAAAATAAATATAGAATGTAGTGTATATACATATACATATATTATATATATACCCACTTTGATATAAACCACATTTTATATTTATTTTAAATAATAATAATAATTATATATATATATATATATATATATATATATATATATATAAAGTATAAAAAAGGTGAAAGTAAACAATTATAAATAGCACACAATATACGTTAGAGAGTTGTATAATTGTTGAAAAAATTTCATTACTAAAATATCATATACAAGATCATACCAGATAATCACCTATGAAAGAAATTTATTATAAAGAGCAATTTTCGAAAGGATATACATAAACGTACTAATTAATATATTAATCAAATTGCCTGCCTTTTTGTTGTGCTGTTTATGTTATTCTCATATTATTAAGTTATTCTTAATTATATTTAATAAACCAGCAGATTAGTAAGGTATTAGAAGAAAGAGAAAGAAAAACTAGTGAGAACCGAGTAGAATCTAAGAAACCAAAGAATCGTTCTCAATGTTTATAATAAAAACAACGTTGCTTTATAACAAAATGCAATTCAATGTTGCTAAATCTTGCCGTACTTTGTTCTGTAATTCTGTCTTGACCATATAATCGCAGAAACTCATACAAATGTATTGCACAAAGATATAAAACGGTATCCAAGATCTTATGGGATAAGTGTGTACAAAATATAATCTATGAACTATCGAAGAAGGTAATTTCAGAGTTGGGAAATAATGCGTTATTTGTAACGCCATTACCAATACTTTTATCGATAAAAATCATTACTTTTTTCTGTTTGTAACAAACGAATTTTTCTGTTTTCTGTTAGTAACGGTAACAAATACAGTTGTTACGTTTTTACAGTAACAGTAACGAATTTAATCGTTACTTTTGTCATTATTTTATTTATTTCTATTTAATAGATAATGCACTGATATCGTTACGTTAACGTTATTATCGTTAATTAGGTCGCCACTAGCTTTAATTTATATATATATATATATATATATATATATATATATATATATATATATATATATATA